TCCCAAATTGACACCAGATTCGGTAACTACCACAAGGGGTCATCCTGTTTGTTTCAGCACCACTGTTGATGCAAACTGTACTCGATGGCATTAAAGTTAATATTTAACCAAGTAAATGGATGGATTTTAATTAAAATGAAAACTCAATATTAGATGAAATCGAATAGGTTCGATTCCATTAAAAAAACCTATCCAGGCGCTGTGACTATCAGCCCTGTTTTCACAGACCAGGAAACTGCGATCTACAAAGATCCGTGGATTTGCCAAATATCACCGTGAGAGAAAGATGAGGCCATCCCCTCCTTTAGAGAATTACAGTCTCAGAAATTCCAAGGAGCAGTTCCGCTTTCCCCTGATGAGGGCGCTCTGAGTCAGGATCCACTCGATGGGGCTGTTGTTATTTTATTTTTTTATATGGTCACAGAGCTAAGTCTGGTAGAACTGGGATTCGAAGCCAGGCGTCGTGCTCTGCGCTGCACTCCCGGATAGCCCTCCCTGCGGAGCTTGCTGCTGCGCGCTTGTCTTCTGATGTCCCCATTTATGGGGAAGTTCTGCTGACGGTCTAACCCTGTTCCTTTTTTTTTAACTCACCAGGTCGGAATGAACTGATTGCCCGTTATATCAAGCTGAGAACAGGGAAGACCCGGACGCGAAAACAGGTCTCGGGACATGACTTGGGGGTTTCTGTCTGGGAAAGGGGATGTCTTCTTAGGGGTACTCTAGTAGGGGCAAGGGGGGCCCCAGGCTTACTGTGCTTGGCTGTTAACTGAAAGGGTGGAAGCTCCAGTCCATCCAGAAGCAACTCGGAAGAGAGCCTGGGCGAACTTCTTAGAAAAAAACCAGCCATTTGAAGTCATAGCGTACTTCTATTCTGAATGGCTTTGTGGGCACCTGGGGCTCTCCTGTGGGCACGTTCAAGTCCAAAGGCGATCCAGGTTCATGGGGTCCCCCACCCCCCACCCCCCGCCCCCCTCGGCCTATCTTCTTGGCTTGCTTTGTATGAGCCCAGTGGCACAGTGGGATTAGCTCTTGCTAACTGCAAGATCAGCAGTTCAAACCCACCAGCGGCTCCTCAGGAGAAAGATGAGGCTGTCTGCTCCTAGAAAGATCCAGCGGTCTCAGAAAACCCAAGGGAGCCATTCTACTCTGTCCTGTGGGGTCCCTGAGTCAGAAGTGTCTTGATGGCAGTGGGTAGACTTAAGTATCAGGGGCTCTGTGGCACTGTGGTTAAGCCCTCAAGGACTAACTGCAAGGTGAGTGGTTCAGACCCACCAGCTGCTCTTTGGGAGAAAGACGAGACATGCCGCTACCATAAAGATGACAGCCTTGGAATCTTCAGGGACAGCCCTGCCCTAGGGGATCTCGATGAGTTAGAATCAGCTGGACAGCAGTGGGTTCGATTGGGCGTTTAGCATGCTCCTGGGGTGGTGTAAGCAGGGACACATTCAACTGGTTCACACTCACCCCGAGGTGGCCCGGAAGAAAGGCCTGGTCATGTATTTCTGAAAACCCCACTCCTGGAGATGGTGTGAGTGCAATTCTCCTCTGCACACTGGGGTCTCCACGGTTGGGATTCACCTGGGAGAACCTGGTGCCTGCCTGACGGGATCCAGCAAGTGGTTTCCAAGCACGTTTGATACGCACTGAAGGGAGCTGGAGCAAAGGGGGCCTCGGGAGGGCGGCAGCAGACAGGAAAGGTCCCAGGGCAAAGTGGCTTTGGGGCACATCCGGTGAGCTGTGTGGGGTTTCCCGGAGGGAGGGGGCAGGGAGGGAGAGGAGGGGAGCATGCAGACCCAAGGGGGCAAGGCCTGAATCCGCCCCTCCCTCTCTCCTTCCAGGTGTCTAGTCATATCCAGGTTTTGGCCCGAAGGAAATCGAGGGAAATCCAGTCCAAGCTCAAGGTAGGAACCCCAGGCTGATGCCCCATCTGGGGAAGAGACAGTCTGTGAGGGATGGGGGGACCCAGAGAGAGTGGGAGGAAAGAGAGGGGCAGAGACCTAGAGGGAGCGGCGGCCAGAGACCCGGAGGAAGTGATGGGGGGTGGGGGTGGCGATTGAGACCTAGAGAGAACCGGACGGAGAGGGAAAAAAATGGAGACAGACCCAGAGAGAGATAAAATAAAGTGAGACAGAGAGGGAAAGACAAACTCAGAGAGAAGGGCTGACACCCTGAGAGGGAGGAGGCTCGAGAACCCACTTTGCGCATGGGAAGCCCCGTCGATTGAGGGCCATGGAGAAAGCATAGGGCAGGTAAGTAGAGCGGGACACTAGGCCTCTCTCCTGGCTGCTCTCACCCCTGCCTCTGCCCCCCTCCTCCTTCCTCTCTGCTCTCCCAGTTCTTTCCTTTCTCCAGCGGTGAGCATCCCCCTTCCCCCACCCCCCACCTCCGTCAGACTCACCTTCCCATTTCTGGCCCCCCAGGTAGCTTCTGTGTCCCCTTTGCAACCCAGAAACCCCCTTCCCTGTTGGAGATGCCTTTGCCTTTCCCTTCTCAACCCTCTGCATGTCCGGTTCCCTCTTGTCCCGAGAAGAGCCTTGGTGGGGTCGTGGTGGGGCTGTGATCTGCCAGGTGGGCAGTTCAAAACCGCCAGCCACACCTTGGGGGAGAAAGATGGGCTTTCTACGCCTGTCAGCAGTTAGTTGTATTCTCGGAAACTCATAGGGGCAGCTAGTTCTGCCTGGTCCTGTTGAGTTGCTAGGACTGGTATCGACCCAGTGGCAGTGGGTTTGGAGAGGTGTTGGGTCTTGTCCTGAGAAGGACGAGGAGGACACCTGGAGGGAGGTACAGTGGCTCCAGCACTCAGCCGCTAACCACACCGTTAGCAGTTTGAACCCACCTGCCGGCTCTTTGGGAGAAAGACGAGGCTGTCTGCTCCCATAGAGTGACAGCCTTAGAGACCCCCAGGGGCAGTTCTGACCTGTCACTTGGGTCACTGTGAGTCTCAATCCATTGGAGGGCAGTGGATTTTTTGGATGGGCATCAGGAAACCTCAACTTCCTGTACTTGATTGATCTAGAATCCTCTTTCCTGACAACTCCCCTGCCCCCCCAGTCTGGACAAGAAAACCTCTTTTTTCCTCTACTTCCTCTCCAACATCTCCCCCTTCATTCCTTGGGGCAACTAGAGTCAGGGTGGGGGGAATGTATGGAGCTGGTAGGGCCAGGAGGAGGTGGACATGTCCAGGGGTCACTTCCTAAGTCATGTTTTCTTTCCTCCTTTGGTACATTTCCCCTGCCCCCATGGGTAGGCCCTCAATGTGGTAAGTCCCCCTGCATATCCCCCCACCTACTCTGGCTGCTGTTAGTCCCTTACCCTAGACCACTGCCCCTCCTCAGGAGGAGGCAAGGAAGGTGGCGGGGGGTGTTGTGAGAGGGGGCTTGAGGGATTTGGACACCCCCCTCCTGCTTTGCCTTGACAGCCCCCACCCCTAGTCCCCCCATTGTCACACTCCCGGCTGCATCTACACGTGGGTCTCCAATCTTTCTTCTAGGACCAGGTTTCCAAGGACAAAGCCTTCCAGACAATGGCCACTATGTCCTCGGCCCAGCTCATCTCAGCACCTTCACTGCAGGCCAAACTGGGCCCTGCCAGTCCTCAGGTGGTTCTGGGCTGGCGTCTGGGGTTGCTGGAGGCTGGCAGGGTGGGGCACCAGTTAGCAGCAGGGGAACTGACTCAGAGCCTTCTTGCTTTTTCTCTCAGGCCTCTGAGATTTTCCAGTTTTGGTCGGGGGGTTCTGGAACCTCCTGGAATGTTCCAGAGTGAGTATTTCCTTCCTTTTTATGTATTTATTTAAAAAAATTTTTTTTAAATTAGAAGATCATTTTATGGTGGACTCTTACAACTCTTATCACAATCCACACATCAGTTGTATCCACACATTAGTTGTATCAAGTTGTACCTAGGTTGCCATCATTCTTTTGCACACATTGACTTTCTATTGAGCCCTCCGTATCAGCTCCTATTTCTTCCTTCCCTCCCCCACCCACCTGACTCCTTGATAGATTATAAATTATTATTTTCATATCTTACACCAACCACTGTCTCCCTTCCCCCATGGTTTCTGTTGTTCGTCCAGCTGGTGTGTGTATGTGTGTGTGTGTGTGTGTGTGGTTACGTGTCAATCATTGCGATCAGTTCCACTTTCCTCCCCTCCTCTCCCCACCATCCCCCTACCCTTCTGGTATTGCTACTCCCATTGCTGTTCCTGGATTCCATGTGTCCTGAGCTCTTATCTGTACCACTGCACATGCTCGGGTCTAGCCCGTAGTGAAAGACAGCACTGGGGTCATGATAGTAGGGGGTAAGGAACCAGAGGAATAATTATTTTTGTCATTGTCATCCTGGAGAATATGCACCCAGCAAAACATGTCACCGTCGGAGCAATGTCTCCATGTCCAATTCAGCAGAACCCCAGGTGACGTTCTTTGAGCCAAGCAAGTACCCTCCCCCTCCCTCTTCTTCTGAGCTGCCCCTGCCCCACTGAACAAGGCTCACTGACCCCCAAGGGTCCTGTCTCATCTTTTGAGAGTTGCTCTTGTCAATCTTTCTCCCTGTGTGAGTCCAAGTGGACTAGAGAAACAAATCCAGGGTGACACATATGTGTATACGAAAGA